GTGGGTCAGTTCTAACGAGCTCTCGGAGAGCACGCTGCTGTCTGGAGAAGAGCTACAGCTCTGAGCTCAATGCTACGAAAAACCGTGCGGAGTCAAGTTGGAGACCAGCTGAACTTGTGCTTAATACACAAAGGGCTCAGCATTGTCCTAATTAGCACGGACTACTAGACGCTCTGAATCGGAGCATTTGAATTAATTTAAACCGTAAATGAATATGGAGGATTATTACTTTGTGTCGTGTTTATGTATGACGGGATGTTCCCGTTTATATTTCTATAAAGGGCATTTATGCTAAAATATACTGGATGAGGGTACGACGCTACTTGCTGCTACTTAAGTGCAATTAGTCGTTGAACAAACGAGAGCAGTGGTTGCGTGTTTGAATGTGATCTGAACGCGAATCCAATTATAGCGGCTTTTATTTGCGCTGATGAACGATTTAGATGAAGACGGAGGTCTTTCGTATGTAAGCGACTGGTTTTATTTTTCGCTTGTATGTGTCTGCAAGGACCTGAGGGCGTCTGATCAGGGGAGCTACACAGTGAGGGACCTTCAGGGAAACACTATTGCCACTGTGGGAGGTGAGCAGGTCTACAGTAGGGTCACTAGAGGGCTCTATATTCTTGACGGAGTGTGTTCTTATATCATCCTCTGTCCTGATTGTCTTTCAGCTCACAGAGACACTGTCACCCTGCAGCCTGGAGCCTCTCTGTCTGTCCCTCTGTTCACTGGAGAGCCAGTGGAGGTGCTGTTTGACCCTGCAGGAGGTGGAAACTGGACCTCAGTGTGTTCTGTCCAGAACAGCACAGCCCGCTGTGTCCCCCAGTACACAGACAGAGTGTCGGTGCAGAACAGCTCTCTGACACTGTATTCCCTCACTCCAGCTGATCAGAGGAGCTACAGAGTGAGGGACCTTCAGGGAAACACTATCAGCACTGTGATCGTCACTGTGGGAGGTGAGCAGGTCTACAGTAGGGTCACTAGAGGGGGTTCTTGTATCGCTCTCAGTCCTGATGGTCTTCCAGCTCCACTCACTCTCCCAGTCTGAGAATTGAGAGGCTCAGAGAGATGGACTGCACCACCAGAGACAGAGGAGAGATCCACGTCACAAAAGGCACCAGACTGCTTACAGGTGGGGACAAATCACACTCTTTTCTTTATGTAGGGCGTGGCAGGATTTGATCTCAATATTTAGAGACAAACTGCGGCAGACCCGTCTTGTTTGTTGTAGAAAAAACAACTCATTGTAGTCTCTCGTCTACCCTCACTTTCCTGTTGGCTGAATACAAGCTGGGGCAGGAGCATGAAATTAATAATGACACTGAGGTGGAGAACTCCTTGCTTGTGCTGAAGGGTTGTTGATCCTCCTTCTTGCAGTTTACAGGAAGCCCACCCTCGGCACTCGAACCCGGAGCCCTGCCCAGCCTGATGGGAGATCCCAGCAGGAGTGAGTCTGATCTTCACCCTGTTCTCTGCTCTCCTTCTGCGTGTGTGTCCACTGGCTCAGTCACTGAGCAGGAGAGAGAGGTGAGTGAGACACACCTGTCCTGTATCTATACAGTCCAGAGACACGTGGTACAGAGTCACACCTGACCTGTATCTGTATGGTCCAGAGACGTGCGGTGCAGAGCAGAGACGGCTACTTCAGTGTCAGGTTTAGTGTGGTTGTAGATTCGAGCATCACCAGCTATTTTGAGCATCTGATGTTAATCTTAATATCTGACCAAGTATGAATATGTCAATAAAGTCTATTATTATTGTTGTTCGTCTCCAATTCTTCTTCGCAAGCCCACGAAATTCCCTGATGGAAGTTCGGTTCAGATCAGTGGAAGTCTGCAACTGTCCCTTAATGAAGGACGGTTTTGTCCCAGAACAACTGAAAATCTGACGGAGAATTAACGAGGACACCCTTTCTTGGATAATCTCTGTACGCGTTAACCACCAAACCAGACTGTCTCTTCAGTCTGTTTCCTGAATAATTAGTTTATTTGCTTGTTTACCGTGCTGGGGGTTCACTGGAATGGTGAGTCACTAAACCAGTGTGTCTCTCTGTGTTCGCTGGAATGGTGAGAGGAGTGGGGTACCAGCCAGGTGGGAGCTGGAGGAGTGGGGTACCAGACAGTTGAAGCCAAGGAACATTCCTGTGTGACAGTGAACATGCTCAACCGAGATCTCTGTGGGATCCTGAAGGAGGAAAAGTCAAGAGGGAGGAC